CAGTGTCAGTTTTTTTAATATAAATATCCGAATTGTCACGTCGACAGCAGCATAACAATGAGCACTCATACACACTCAAGGAGCTTTGTCGAAGAGAAGCGTCTAAAACGGCTTTTTTCGAAGCAAGGCAGCACATACGACCAAAAAGCAAGCGACAAGTTTTCCTAAACTTGACTGAAAATAGTGAGTAAAATACAAAGTTCATTGCAGCGTTGACTAACAATAAAGTATTAGACACCCGCACATACAGTGATCGAAAGTGTAGTAACTCGGAATTAACATTAACTTCAATTTTAACCACAGCATTTATAATTATAGGGAAAATGCTTGGTAGTTGTAGCACAATAAAAGCCATCACAATTGCTATCAGCATAATTGTAATCCTGTGCTGCTCTCCGAGAATAGGCCTTCTCAGCCCTCCAGTGTTCGTTTCCGGATTTCCACCTGTCAAAAATGTACCGGACCCAACTTGGTTGCATCTGGCTCTATCGAATTTGACAGGTTTAGCCGCTTCCAATTGCGTTGAAGTGTCCGCATCTAAACTAGCCTTGATACCTGGCCGATGCATTGTGGAAAGGTTATATCGTGGCACAGTTGATGAGGATAATATGGCACCACCAGATGTGAGGCTGTATGCTTTACAGGTGTCAGCTCTAGTTAGATTTTTACGTTCTCGACTAGCTTGATAGACGGAACGAATCAGGAGTAGATTGAAGACGAGTAAGAGAATTAGAGGCACAATTAAAAAACAGGCTTGATTAATGTAGGTGTAGCCAAAACTCTCAACAAAGTTGGAAACTGTAGTATTTTGAGTCACTCTGTACTCGCCCCTACGATGCTGCTTGCTGTCGTTTGAGTCGGTCTGGCTAACCAGCTCAGTTTCACTGACTGGAGCGTCGATTCTAGCGCTGAAGTAGTCTGGTAGAGTAAGCAGAAGACAAATAGTGACGGTCACGTAGACGACAGTTCGCGCTCTCCTCCGAGTGCACATTCGGTGACCCCAAATTGGAGAACTGATTGCAATGTATCGTTCTACCGTAAAACCAACGGTAAGCCAGGTTGTCGTGTTGCTAAACGAATTGGCGCTTCCATAGATGAAAGGCAACGCATTCATGTAAAGCCAAGATGTACGCATTCGTGCATACAATTGCAGCGAAAATAAGGCTGAGAAAACAAGATAAGCCAAGTCACAAACAGCAACTGCCGTGAGGTATACGTTGGTCGAATAGACCATCCAGGACCGGGTGAGCACTGTAACATTTATCAGATTGGCGAGGATTCCAGCAGTACATAAGACACCAGTGATTATTTTAGCAAATATTAGGGCAAATAGCTCAATTTGCTGTTCTCGTTGTGCCTTTAATGTTGTGTGATTAGGTGCTGGCTGTTCAGCCACTTGATCTGTGCTATCCCCTGAAGAAATGGCGGAGCTGACAGAAAAACTGAGCAGTTTTAGAAGAATAAGAACAAAAAGTTGATAAATTGTAGTCCTGGGGCGCATTTTGTTGGGGGGAACTTCTGATCAGCAGAAACGTTAGTTATCTTTTAAATTGTACAACTTAAAAATTATAACTAAGTTATTACGAAAAGTAATAGGATAAACAACACATATGATCAATGAATTCCATATAGACATAGGGTAATTGTGGTTGCATTTCTAAAGTAAAACTATCAAAGATAACAAGAATGCAAGATCAATTGTGATTGGACGCTTGTTTGACGAATGGGAATTATGAAAGTTTCCTTGAAGAGAATCGTAAACGGGATCCTCACTTTGATGCGCCTTGATCATTAATCCGTAACAGATTTCTTAACCTATTTTACCAATAAAATCAAGAGATATTAATGATAAAACTAAGCAAATAATTTTAATTTTATAAATTTATTGATTATTTTTGAAAGTGTTTAGCATCATGTTTGAATAATGAGGATACATCTTATTTAATAGGGTTGATTACATAAATATAGAAAGATTTACTCAGCATATAATTTATTGTTTATCATAAAATATTCAAAGGATACGAAAGAGTTAAGTTAGAGCAAACTTTCAAAAACGTTGGGTAAGCTTTCACATTAGATCATATCTTATGCAGATCTATTGAAATCATTGGTAAAATAAAAAATCATAAAAATAGGTAGCTATATCAAAATTTAAAAAATACACTTAAATTGATAAATTTTTTGACCATGTTCTAGCAAACTTAGTCATATAGGCGGGAAAACATAGAGGCACGCATTTTGTCCAGATTCAATATGAAGCATGATAAAATCCAGAGTCGGACCGTGAAGTTGGTGCATTCCCAAACGTTGCTTCAACATCTCCAGTTAGCTTTGCAACTCTTAGCGCCACACTAAAACTCGTCAAAGATACAAGATAAGTCGACTCTTTGACCATTTGTCTAATAAACAGTTGTGGTAATCTCCTTCTGTCGTGGCATATTTAACTATCCCATATCTTCTTAGCCCTCCTTCGCTAATATTATTTCTAACGTGTTTATTTAAACCTAGTCCAGGTGTGCCAGTTTTAAGCGGAGTTAGTGAAACCTATTCACACTCTTCTCTGGTTTCATCATCCTCCCCACTGTGATAGGAGTGTCAATCCAAGTCTGCACTCTTATTTCGCAATTCTCTTCCTTCATGTTCTATCAGAAATGCCCTCTTGCTCCATATGATTCGTCTCTTATCGACTTAGTACAGTTATTTTACTTGATCTCAGCCAACCTATCTGTGCTCCTCGATGCGTTATGTTCTACACTCTGCCTCAAGACTTTGATTGCCCGTATCCCTCAGCCTCGATGAATAAGTCCCTAAAGCCTGGATTATCAAATAGTATGGAAATATAATATGGTGCTAAAGATACCTTATCACTGTGCGGCATGTGTATCAAATAAATCTCGTGGTCAAGTGTTTACTTCACGGACTACGTCTATGATCAGACGCAACTAGTAATAGTCAATTATAAATTTTTTCTGCCGCTCTTCTATCCATAATGTCAAGTCTCTGACTGTTCTATGCCCTAAACTTTTGTGGACCTAATACTATTCAATTATTGCAAATATAAATTTAATTTTTGGTATTCATCTTTATTAAATACCAAGGAAATTATATCATAAAATAACCCTTAGGCGTAAAATTATAAAGCCACAAAGTTTCTTTGTGAACTTCTCCATTGCAATAGAATAGGTTTGTTCAGACAAGCAGATTAAGACTTATATTTTTATTAAAGATTATATATAAACTATACTCATTTGTAGTAAATATATAATAATTTAATAAAATGTAATTATTTCGTATCGAATTATTTGAGCGCATAATGAAACAATAACTGAGGAATTTTAACGTAATTAATTTGAACTCTTATAAAGAGTAGCTTGTTTGATAATGAACTCTTAAATGATAGATGTTAGCATAACTTCGTTTAGTATATTTTGGTGACTGTTCATAAATGATGTTGTTTTGGCTCTACCGATATCTATCAGATGAATGACGACAGCTTAGCAAGGATCCATCAAGGCTGAAGTCTTCTTTGCACAATTTAACAATCGCACGTTCAAGGCATTTATCTTTCAGTTTCCAGCTAATTAATTAATTCTTTCCACCAGCCTCTTCAAACGAAGTGAACGGTATGCCAGCATCAAATTAATCCGTTTTGTGGAAATTGTTTTTAAATATTTTATACAAGATTACTCTAATTAAAAAAAAATTGGATTTAAATTTGTATAAGTCAAAATCCTTAGAAATACCTTTCAGACAAAAAAGTAAAATATGTACAATATATAAGTTTTTCTTATTCAAATGATTAATTGGCATGCTGTAGTACTTATAATTATGCAGACTCTATGTATAATATAGTAATGATTTTAATTGACTTCAACTGATGTCCAAAAGAGAGTGTTTATAAAGCAAAGCTCAAAGGTACATTATCGACAAGCTATGCACATAACTATCAAAATAACCCATTTATTTAGTTTTATATTTACGATCATTTTTATTTTCATTGATCAATCGAAGTCTGAATCTCGAGGATTCTATACATAAATTTAAATAATGTCACAAATAGTCATTGGCTATCTACAAACAAACAAAGTAGCTTTCATGAGAGGTATTCACCCAATTTCGTTTAAGGCGATGAAGGACTGGTAGTAGAATTTTCCCACAATGATATGAGTAGAGCTGACGTAACATAGCCTTGCTTTCCTAAAAGGTGTTCTCATCCATGCGGGACTGCAGTTTTAACCTAGCTGGGATGGTTGAGAAGACCTAGGCGAGATCGAAACTGCAGTCCATATTGGATGAGAACAACTTTTGGGAAAGCAAGGCTATGCAAAATTCAAAGGAGACGCCAGCTCTGCTTATATCATTGTGGGAACATTCTAGTATCAGTCCTTCATCACCTTAAACGAAATAGGGTTACTAGATCTCATATACATGATTTACTGGTAGTCGGGAAGCTCTGCTTATATACGAAAAAAGTAAGTTATATTTTATTCTCTTTGCAGTTTGATCGTACTAGTAAAGTCTAAATGAGTGTAAAATCTAACTTTACACGAATTTATAATAAAAATTAGTTTACAGGAGGAAATATCATATTTGTTATCTAAAAACATTTCACTAAGTTTTTTAAGAAGGATTTACAATGAAGATAATTGCACTTAAATGCCAGGTTTAGTGAGAAAAGAAGGCCAAAATAAGCCTAAAGTTTCAAGCTTAATTTGGTAAAAAAAAACCCTTCGGAAACAAGAATAAACTAAATTGAGTAGCAAATTAAAGATTGCAATGAAATTTATGATACTTATCTATCAGCTTATTTAAAATAATTAATTTTTATTACGCCTAATAGTTGTTATATGAATATGAAGTAGAAATAGCAGGATAAGCTATCGATGTATCCTGATTTTATAAGCTAGTATAACTAAAGGATAGGTATATACCTTGACTGGATATAAAAATGACCACATGTTCCATCTGGCATCAAAGTTGACTCCAAG